ATATATATATATATATATATATATATATATATATATATATAGTGATTATATAGCTCAATCAACATGTGTGTCGCGGCACTTCCCATTTTATTCACAATCTGGATGGTCTCATTTCGCTCCCAAATTCTTTCTCTGTCCGCGTTCATATGGACAGCGCTCTGTTGTTGCATGTCGTATAAAAAAACAAGTTGCGCTATAAAATGCGTTTGTAAACAAAACGTAAAATGGCGGAGAAAAAGTCACTAACGGATGCACCTGCCTCCGCAACAACACCCCTGCGAGATAATCCATACAAACACATACGCACATTCTGGGCGTCATCAATCCTCTTCAGTCCAGTGTGGTTCGCATTGCTGCCCGGGAGCAGCTGCTACCGAAGCTCATCGGCTCTTGGTTCCCGTCGACTCCTGAATGTATGTGATCGTATGATTGTTTCCTTTTAAATGAGGGAAAAATAAGATCAGGTAGAAGCAAGCAAGTTGAAGGGCTAATCCCTAGAGAGCGAGAGAGCCTGTTTCTGTTTTGTACCACAGATTGAACCGACCCATCCCTCTGAATGACTGGAAATCGTTACGAAACATTTGGTCTGGATTTATGTTTGTCCCCAATCAACGGTTAAACAGTTATTCGTTTGACCTGGTTTTCAGGATACCAAACGAATCGGTACATTGAATCTGTTTAATAATCACTTTCAGGCATATGCATGCCTTGTTAATTTTAGAGATAACCCAGTAATGCAGAATACACGTTGTGGTTAAGTAGTACATGCCTTATCATAAGTGGTTTTTGAAACGGCGACAAATAACCGTAGCTTGAGCAACGATTGACGGTGGTGGTGGTGGTGATGGATTATTCTTCTTTCTTATCTGAGGACCATATTCAGAGAACAAAGTACCAACAAAAAACCATTCGATGTTAATGCATAAAATCTTATGCGATCGTATCATTGTCTAGCTAATGCCAAGAGTGTTAAGAACAATCAGCCACAATAACGCTTAGTGTCTTGTGGATGGGTTAGGGGGGGGGGGGGGGNTTATAAATATGGCTTTGTTCGCTTCTTCAAAAAGAGGCTTTCAAACTGCCTGAACTCTGATCGACGTAATCGTTCCTTTCAGTCGATCTGCTTGCTAGCTTCTCCTTCACCACTGGGGCATTTTTTTCTGCACATGGTTCACAGTGTTGCATAACCCAGTTACCAACTGCAACAGATTTCACAAATTGTAAACACGTCTGTCTACATGTGTGCGCTTATTTCCTAAGGAACAGATGGTATAAATATGATTTGCTGTAGAGAACTGTTTTTTATCTCGTTCTCAGGCGCATAAATGTGGAATGGATCGGTCGATTGTGGCAAAACATTGTACCCGTTGATATACGATCTGCGTACACTTGTCAAGCGAGTTCTCGCCTGCTATCTTGTTTACACATTCATTACCCTCTCATTCACATTCGCATAAGCTAACACAGACAAACACACAGACATACGAACCGTTCCAAGTCGAATATCTACCGCGTCGCAATGTCACCCTGTCACTTACACACAAACACACACACGCACCTTATATTGTGATACCTTGCCAACAGATGGAAGTGATTGTATAGTGTGTGAGTCGGGGCAATCACAGGTTTCCTGCAAATTATTGTTTATTTCAGTCTGTGTGCAGCAGCGAAAGAGGAAGGGATGTGAAAATGGGA